GGCCATACAGGGAGATGTAAAGTTGGTAAGTAAAAGAGAAGCCATATTGTTTGAAAAGGTTAGCTTTTTACTTCTTTGCAGATTTATGCCCTGTGGCTTCTATGCCCAGCATTTGTCTTGAGCAGTGTTTGGGTTTTTACTTAGTCATTCACAAGTTTGGTATTGGGAGTCAGAGCCCCTGGAGTATGGTCAACACCAGAGACAATAAGATGGATTTCTAGATCTAGTTGCTAACACTTATGGAGCTATGCTCTGATTTAGTCTGTGTTAAGCACTTTAGGTATGTTAAATAATTTAAAAACAAACAAACCCTATAGGAAGTTAGTTAATGTTAAGATATTTTATAAATGAGGAAACAGAGGTTGAGCAACTTGATTTAAGATCATGTCCAGATTATACAGCTAGTTGGAGACCAACTGGGGAGTCAGATTCATGTTCATTCACTTCTACTCTGAGTTTTTAGCTACCAAACTGTAGTACTCCACATAAAAGTCTGCTTGTGACAGTGAGGATCTGCTTGAGTAGTCAGCTGCATTTGTTTTATCTGCCATTCATCTCTTTACCTATCCATCCATCCATTCAATCAACTGTCCAGTCAACCAACTGCCCATGTGTTATGGTCAGAATGTTTGTGTCCCTGCAAAATCTTACGTTACAAGGGTGTTAGAAGGTGGGGGCTTTGGGAGGTGATTAGGTCAGAGGGTGGGGCCCTCACGGATGAGATTAATACCCATATATAAGAAGCCTCAGAGAGCTGTCTTGTCCCTTTTTGCCTTGTGAGTATACAGGAAGCCTACAACATGAGAGAGGGCCCTCACCTGACCGTACTGGCCCCTTATCATGTACTTCCAACCTCCAGAACTGCAAGAAATACATTCCTGTTGTTTATTAGCCACCCAGTCTGTGGTATTTTGTTCTAGCTGCCTGAACAGACTAAGATGCCATCTAACCTTCCAACTATCCTTCAAACCCTCTCTCCATCCACGCGTGCAACCACAAATACCATGTGGCTGTTCATTCCACAGATACCAAGAGCCTTTCCTATGCTGATTCTATGCCAGGAGGAGGCTGAATGCAGAGGGGGATTAGGAGACAATAGCACCTGTGAAAGCTGGCTTCTGACTAGATTTGGAACTCCCTGAGGACAGACTCTCTCTTTTTTTTTTTGTATCTGTAGCACAATAAAAATATGATTTGGCTTTTGTCTTCCTTTTCAACCTCATTTTATCTACTTCTCTTGTTCATTCCTCTTCAATTACACCGGTTTATTTCTGCTGTTCAGTAAGCCAAGCCCTCTTTTGCCTCAGAACTTTAGCAATTGGCTGTTTCTTTTGACCCAAAAGTTCACTCTTGACAGTGTAAATAGCTAGCTTCTTATTCTCTGTATCTTAGCTAAAACATCTTGTCCTCAAGGCAGGTCTTTTCTGACCACCTTATCTAATCAAGACACTCTCTGCCCCTCCCCCAACAACCCCCTTTCCCCTTACCCTGTTTATTTCTTTTATGGCATTGTTCCAAATCTGTAATCATCTTGTTTATTCACTGCTTATTTTCTAGCTTCCTAATTAGAAAAGTAAACCCCAAGAGGCCATGTACTAAGTCTTTAATGTTCTTTTTGCATGTCTTCTGTCTAGATCACTCAATGACACATAGTAGGCCTTCAATATTTACTTGTTGAATAAATGGATGTAGTATGCATGACCAGATCTTCCCAGTATGAGGAAGCTTGAAGAGTAATAGAAAACAGATCTTGAAAGATAGAGTAGGGACACAGAAGTCCTTGAAAGACAAGCAGAGGAGGGTACCCTTGATATGAACATAAGGGGCCAGTAGAGGCTTTTGAGTTGCAGGATGAAGATGGTGATTTAGAAGGGTGACTTGGTATGCCAGAATCTGCTATAAGTCCTTAACTTAAATGATTCACTGCAGTGTCTTATATTGAATTACTGCAAGAGGTAATCAGGTCCTAGGACCTGAAATGTATTTTTCTCCCTGTGGGAGATTATATAATGTGGGAACTTTATGTGGGTTGGGAGTTTCATATATGTTATGTTTACTTAATTGATTATGGTAAACTATAGACAAAGTAATAATGGTCAAAACCCTGTAAGGTGGGATCCATGTATGTTTACTGCAGATATCTAGCCTGTAGCTGATAAATTATTTATTCAATAAATAAGTAAATGAAATAATCACACACTTGGAAAGATCTTGGTTAGATAGGATCTGCTGCTAGCTGTCTGTGTGACCTTTAAGATATTTAACCTGGTTAAAAGTCAGTTCCCTGATCTGTAAAAGTGGGAGAAGATTTAACTCATATGCTATTAAATGAGAGCTTTATGGGAAACTCTCTGACACAGAGGAGACAGTCAGTTCATTTTCTCTGTTACTTCTGAACCTGCCTTGACTGGGATTTCCTACTGGTCTTTCCCCAAGAGCTCTATGGGTTGAAATAGAACATATGGTGATATTTACTTTTTGCCATTTTCAGTCCTTTCAATGTAAAACTGGAATTCTGACTCTGTAACTTACTAGCTGAATGACTTTGAGCACCCTCTTTGTGCCTCAATTTATCTATAAAATGGATATAATGGTAGTACCTGCCTCACAGGAGTATTGTAAGGATTAAATGAGATGGATGCTAAGTGTCTAATACCTGGCAATAAATGTTAACTGTAATTATTCTTTACAATTTCATTTTTTTACTCCCCTTAATGCAGGCAACTTTTCTTTCCTCCCACCTGTAGGCATTCTCAGTGCCTATAATCTCTTCTGGGGAAAAGGCTGTCTCTGAGATGCAATCTGAGAGAAATGGGTTGGGTAGAGTCTTCCATACATAAGGATCCAAGAGACTTAATATGGAAATACAGAAGTAGGTGCATTAGGACACTGAAAAGAGAGACTTTATGTACCTGACATAGGAGAGGCCAGGAAAGAAAAAGTCTTAGGCAAGGAGCTAGATGTACTCACTTTCCAGTGAATTTGGAGAGAAAACTGTGTTCACATGGAAGTCCAGCAATGCCTCAGGACTGTTCTCTGGAATATTCATCAGCTTAATCCAGTGTGCATCGTGTCTCTCCTCTTCTCATTAGCATTTTCCTACTTTCAAATAAGTAAGTGCATTATTCCTAGAAAGTGGAGAGAAGCCAAGGAAAACACTACTTGTGTGGGGGCTGGAGTGACTGGTTATGGATAATCTTGCACATCATTCTATCCCCAGCACTTAACAGTGCCTAGCATAGAAGTAGTTCAAAAAGTGTTTTTCAAACTTTGGTTGTCCTTCTCAAATAAGCTTGTCGTGCCCCAGAGCAGCTGCAAGAAGGTCGGCGCCTAGAAATAACATTTATTCTAAGGACCTCGGCGCAGAGATTCTTGGGAAGCTGTCCCCGCCTCCCACAGCATTCTCTTTACTCCTCCCCTCGGTCCCCTTTGAAAGAGGTGACACGCTACGTGATCCCTCTATCAGACAGCTGAAGGCCTGGCTAATAACGGGCAGGAACGTAGGCCAATCATAAAACCTTATTTCCTCTTCCAGCAAATAGAAAGAGGCAATAAGTATATGGCTCAGCTTTTGTGACTTCCCCTGCCCCCTGACTCCTCTACTAAGATTCTACATTTGACAACTCATCCGGCCAATGAGAAGTTCCTACTCTGTATGGGAGGCAAGGACTGACTGAAGACAGACGTCCCCATCTAGCCAATGGAACATCATAAGTGCGGGAGGGGTGTAGGACGGAACCAATGGTGCGGTGTCAATAACGAGCATCAGTGAAAGGGCGGGACAAAATTGTTCGCGGGAGGGAGGGGAAGGCCCAGGGAACCAAGCAGTGCTGCCGCCGCCGCTGCAGCCTGAGTTGGAGGAGGGAGAAGCCAGGAGGAAAATGGCGGCTGTGGCTGCAGAGGCGGCAGCGACTGCAGCGTCCCCCGGGGAGGGGGGCGCAGGCGAGGCCGAGCCGGAGATGGAGCCCATCCCCGGCAGCGAGGCCGGTACTGACCCCCTCCCGGTCACGGCCACTGAAGCATCTGTGCCGGACGGCGAGGCCGACGGGCAGCAGTCTTCCTCTCAGGCCGACGAGCCGCGGCTCCCGCCGCCGCCGCCACCGCCGGGGGAGCTCGCCCGCAGCCCAGAGGCGGCGGGGCCGGAGCTGGAGGCTGAGGAGAAGCTTCCCGCCCGGGCGGTGGAGCCGGCGGCTGCCGCACCCCAGGAACGACCCGACTTTTCGCCTTCCCCTGTACCGCCGCCCGAGCAGCCCTCGGCTCCCGAGGGGCGTCAGGAGCCGCCGCCGCCCCAGCCCGCAGCCCCGGCGCTCGTGCCGCCGGCGGGCGGGGACTCCGCCGTGTCGCAGCTGATTCCCGGCTCGGAGGTGCGGGTCACGCTGGACCACATCATTGAGGACGCGCTTGTCGTGTCGTTCCGCCTCGGGGAGAAGCTCTTCTCCGGGGTCCTCATGGATCTGTCCAAAAGGTACCGCGCCCGCCCACAGCACGTTCCGGGGCGCCCGGGTCCTGTCGGTCCTCAGGGAGGGAGGGGCCGCCGCGGCCCCTTCACCCCGGGCTCCCGGCGCCCCGCCGCCTGCTCCGCCCGCGGGTGCCGCGCGGCGCGCGCTCCGAGTGGGACCGGCGCGCGAGGCTGGGAGAGGGCGGGCCCTACCCCAGGTGGGCGCTACCCCAGGTGGGCGCCTGCTAGGGCAGGTGTGCCGCCTGCGGGGGAGCGCGGAGGCATGACCGGCCCGTGGGTCTCACCCCGACCCCGGCTCTCTAACACTGGGGCGGGTTGGTTAATGCAAAAAAGCAGAAGGATTTTTGCAGACAACAGAGTACTGGGCTGGGGAAGATTGCTTGTAAGCAGTTCTGTTCTCAAACTAACCTTTAACGAGTTGGAGAAAGGAGGTTTGCATTGTTGTTCCCCAAAGGTTAACTGTCAGTCCTTTTGGGGGAAGAGCATTTGTTACAAATGAGCCTTTTTTGACCGTTATCCTTACTGTTAGAACTAATTACTCTGTAATTCTTCAATAGGGAAGCCCATTTGGCTAATTATAATGATAGTCTAAAGGAGAGATCAGAATATTTTTAACCTATAATATCAAGATAGTGTGGTATGAAAAGTGTTCAGATACTGACTTCTCATACTGTAGTGACAGTTCAAATTTCTGTATTAAGGACAGGAAGGTTCAGTTCACCCACAAACCTGTCTTAACCAGTACGTCTTGATCTTTTATGTAGAATGTTTATGGGTGTTGCTTTATTTAAACAGGTAAAGAAGATCATCTGTCCTAAGTCGAGTTAAGTTAACCTTTTTATTCTCTTCTTTTGCAGATATGAAGTGCAGAGACTCCCATTCACGGCTCTCCATTCTGTTTCCTGCAACAGCACACACACTGATGTATCTCACCTGTTTGGAAATGGCTTATTTTAGTATGTTTTACTGTTAACTCCTAGCCCTCTCAGCAAGTCACAAGATTCTTCCCATTTGGGGGAAAAAGCCATTTCATATACATACTGAAGTACGGTGTTTGGGGGAAAAGATGGGAGACTTTACAATTAACTTCTCTACTGTGTTTAATTAATTTCTAAAAAAAAATTGATTAAGCATTTTGGGTTAGGACTTTTGCACTTGTGTTTTCATTGTTAGAAAGCAGAATAAGACCAGTGCACTTTCTACTGATGTGTTTAACAGCGAAAGAGACTCAGTAGTGTGAATGCTGTTGAATCAAACAGAAGTGAAGGCCAGTGATTGTGTGAGAATCTGGATTTCAAATCTGCAAAAGGAAGGTGCAAAAAGGTAAGTTGTTTCTGGAAATGGTTGGATAGCGCTTTCCTGTTTTAAGGTGCACATTATGTTTGTGTATTATTTTTTTCTTTGGTAGGGAATTGCAATTATGAATTTTGGTCTATGTGCCAACAGTGCTCATAAACAGCAATTTCTTTTGCTGGGGGAGCTATTATGAACCTTTTATGTTTTCATGTTTTGAAGTGAAGGGATCCTGTCATTAAAATATTTTTTTTAAAAAGCCATTACGGGAACCATATCAATGTTTCATTCAACAAATACTTACTGAACATATCTGTGTGTAAGGCACCCTTCTAGGTATTGAGAATATTGTATGTATGAGTCACAGTTCCTGCCTTCTAGTGTTTTTGTGGGAAGCACCCTTTATGGAAGCGGTGGGAAATAAAACACTCAGTGTTTTTAAAACTTAGCACTTAAAGGAATTATTATTGGACTAATAATCGACTAGTTAAGTATCCCTTTTTCATAATTTAATATAATTTTGAAAAATGGATCTGCCAATATATTTTATAATCTGTGCTTACCTGGATTGCATACTTTGATGTGCAGTTTTGGAGTTAACTGATGATCCACGAGATAACTCTTTATACTCTTAAATGGACACTATACATCTTAAGACCATAGTCATCAGTTGATTTAAATCCCTTTTTCATAATTTAATATAATTTTGAAAAATGGATCTGCCAATATATTTTATAATCTGTGCTTACCTGGATTGCATACTTTGATGTGCAGTTTTGGAGTTAACTGATGATCCACGAGATAACTCTTTATACTCTTAAATGGACACTATACATCTTAAGACCATAGTCATCAGTTGATTTAAAAATAGCTTATCCTATTTGAATTGTCATTAAATTACACCTTTAGGTAAAAATAACAAGAGCTTCCTGTTTGAGTAGTGCTTGTTAGGTACCAAGCATTGTGCCACATGCTTTAGTCTTTATAACTGGTTGTGTAACTTTTCACTTGTATAGGAGGAAATCGGGGTTCATTTAATTTGGCCAGTCACTTAGAATGTAAATGTCAAAGCAAGGATTCAAATGTAGGTTGATCTGATTCTAAAGCCTATGCTTTTTCTACTTCCATATTGGAAAGTTAGTTGGGCTGACAAATACTCTTAAGCAGTTAAGTGAAGAATTGCATGTTTCTGAAATTAGTGCTTATCTTGGTTTCAGCAGATGTTTTGGATAATACAGAGGATATGGCTGTTGGAGCCAAGCAGATTCTTTAGTCAGCTAATAGCCATGGAACCTTCTGCTCTGGAGAATCCCCATTTCCTTAGTTGTATGTTGGGGAACACAAGTAGGCTTTGAAGACTTGGTTCTTGTCTGTTCAGTGATAGGAAAGAATTAACTCTTAGAAGATTACTAAGTGTTTCACTGTGTGTGTGCATTTCTTTGGTCTTCAGAAGGGCCAGTAACTGCTTTAATTAATCATTTTATTCTGACTATGCATGGTACAGAAATGTCTTGAAGTTGGAAGAGCTGTCCACCATGTAGAGAGAGTTTGTAATAGTGCAGTATAGGATTTCATACCTATGTAGATGGATGAAGAGAGCACTTTTATGAACATTGAACATTCTTTTTTCCTGTCAAGGTGTTTTTTGCCTTATTTTTAGAGTTACTTGATTGAAGAACATATTTTTGAGGATATTCTTTTTTGTGTGTGGAAAAAGGAGCAGGACACATGTAAATAAAGACAAAAAAGAAAGTGGTACTAAATAGTAGATTGATCTGAGTGTCAGGTTACTTGGTTTCTGACTTGTAGTACTGGCCTCTCCAGTTAACATTGACTGGGCAAATCTTTGCCACTTTGGGTTCCATTCTTTCTGGTTCTTAAGAGGCTGATTCATTTTTGACTTCAGGTAGTTCACTGAAAACACAAACAAGCAAACAAACTTTATGCCTCACTTTTATATATATGTAAAGTGAGTGGGGTGACAAGGTGGTCTGGGAGTCCTCTACCATCTTGATTTGATTAACTTGCTCTTTTGTCAGAGTAGCTTGCTTTGGCCGATAAATGACATGGTCACCCTAAAAATGAGGGTATTTGAATATCTGGTTAGGACAGATTTTATATAACATGTAGTATTTGTTTGAAACTGATTAGCTTTAGTGCATTTTCTAGTTTAAGCTGAGCACTGTTTTATACCCACCCTTCTTAGGTTGTCTATCCCCAAATTCATTAGCAATGTCTAATGACAGTAGTCTAATAGTAGCAGATAAAAATAATCAGCTAACCCACAAGTTGAGTTTGGTTTCCTATTCTTTTGCTTCCTTAACCTTATGCTTTTGAATTTTGACTTAGGTACATGTGTTTCTTTATTTAGCATTATATAATAAGCATTCGTTCGGGATGCTAAACTCATAATGATTTCTTTAGACAATAATAAATCAGTGGTTGAACCTTACTTTTGTAACAGTGAACCTCTGTAAATCTCACCCATGCTTTGACATTTATCAACTATTAGTGAAATTTGTTTCATTATATGCCCACTTCCACTGGATTATTTTGAAGCTAATTCTAAACATACCTCTTTACCATATGTATTTCAGCATAGAGCTCTATAAAGTTTTAAAAAAACAACTGCACCACTGTTACCAGACTTAAAATAATAGCAGCAATTTCTTTATGTCAGATATCCAGTAATTGTTAAAATTTTACAGATTGTCTCAAAATTAATCTCAGGCAACATCTAAATCTGGTTCAGATTGGAATCCAAGTAAAATTTATACATTGCAAAGTGTTGATAAGTTTTATAAACTTTTCGTCTATAGTTCTACCATTACTTTTATTAACAGTTTATTTGTTAAATAATAGACACTTTGGAAGGATTTTCCATGTTCTGGATTCTTTTCTGGTTGCACCCCTTTGGATTCATTTTCATAATGTTTTAAAAATAGTTCTTTTCCCTCAGGAGCAAACCAAAGGGGTGGCAACAGTCCTCTGAAGGCCTCTTTTGAAAGCCTCTCATCTCGTTTTGGGTCAGTAGAAATGATGTGGATATCTCTTTCCTGTCTGCATACTTTTAGACCTATCCCTTAAACACACTTCCAACTTTAGTAATTTCAAATACAGAAAAATTTAACCAGTCAAGGTTATCTGCAAAGGGCAAATGTCCGCAGCTTCTTAGTCTTCTCTGTCCATACTTGAAAGGATAGAGTTTACTGGGACCTGTGGTTTTCTTTCTACACAGAGGGATCATATAAACTGTTTATTACCATTGTATACATCTTAAAAAGTACTTATAAATCCACTTTGAAATCCTGAAAAATCTAGAAAGTTCTATTTTTTGGACCTGATATAAACTAAAAATCATGAATTAAATGCTTATGTTTGAAAATCCTTGTGCATTTAAATTTTGTCATACATGCCTATTAAAGGTTGTTTCTAGTTGTATTTCAGAATTGATCTTTTACAAATATTGGCTTCTTCTGTGTATATGTGTTGCATTAAAAAGAATTGAGGTGATTTCTTTAGAAAACTTCAGATTTCACTAAGTTCTTAAAACAATTTTTAGAAAATTTACTCATTTTTAAAGGAACTATAAACCAAGACAATGATTTTTATTCTTTACAGAGACCATGAAACATATGGTGCAATAGCCCTACTTTTGGTGGGAATATTATACAGCCATTCTAGTGAAGCAGTGAGTAGTGGTATCAGTAGCT